TCTTTTCTTTTTCTTTTTGTGATACATTTTATTGATTTTTCACAGAGAGGAAGGGAGAGGGACAGAGGTCAGATACATCGATGAGAGAGAAACATCCATCAGCCGCCTCCTGCACATCTCCCATTGGGGATGTGCCTGCAACCCAGGTACATGCCCCTGACCGGAATCGAACCCGGAACCCTTCAGTCCGCAAGCCGACGCTCTATCCACTGAGCCAAACCGGTTCCAGCGGGGTCTTAGCATTTAAAAAACAAACAAAACATGCCATCAAAAGTGATAGACAAAACCTAGAACTGGGTCTGTCTTTTCCTGTATCCGTGCACCAAGGGCTGCCCGGGCCACAGCTGTGCTCAGGAATTCCTCCACTTGGAAGCTGTGTGGTCAAATCACTGGCCCGTTCTGGTCTCTGAGATGACTTCTGATGCCATCTGACCAGTGGCACTGAGGTGCCGAGTGGCGGAGTTAAGGCCCTATGACCCGAGGTCTCAGTGTATGTACCCCACCCTGCTGCCTCCCCTTCCCTCAAAGGGCCCTTTCTTCAACCCCCAGTCCCATCTGCCTCTCTCCCTGTGGAGACCGTGGCCAATTTGACCAGAGTGCCTATTGGACCGGGGCAGGGTTCGACGTGGAGACTGGCCAGGGTTCATCCAGGCACCAGCAGCCCACAGGATGGAGGGCGGGCAAATAGAGGCCTGGCTTGACCCCTCAGTGAGGAGCCAGGGGCCTTGTAGAATGGTGGGCTGGTGGGATGTATGTGACAGCCTGGGCCCCTGGTAGGATGGACTGTCAGGTTTTTGCTGAAGGAAGCCCCGACTTCATTTCCACAGCCAGCCCCGAGGTAGGCGTCATCACAGTGGAACTTCTGTTTTTTGTCTCACTTGAACCCTTCCTGATGCACACGCCTTCTCTCTGTCAGGGGAAAAGTGAGGCCTTGCTTCAAAACCCAGTGCAGCCCTGCTGGGTAGCTCAGTTTAACTAAAGTTAGAGTGTCCCAATATGCCAAGGTTTAAGGTTCAATCTCTGGTTAGGGCACATAGAAGAAGCAATCGATGAATGCATAAATAAGTGGAACAACAAATCCATGTTTTTTTCTTTCTGTCTCTCTCTCCTTCCCTCTTTTCCTCTACTTCTCTCTGTTCCCCACCTCTCTAAAATCAATTAAAAAAGGAGGGGGGTCATGGTGATGGAAAAATAATAAATAAAATCTATTTTTTTAAAAATCAGTGATACTGCACCCATTCTTAGCTGCCCAGGGTCATTCCGATGAGCCAAGGCCTCTGGGGCCACCATTAGCACTTGTTAGGCAGAGAAAGGAATCATGGGATGGAAATTCATACTGAGGTGAGATTGGCTGTGAGAGGAGAAAGGATGCTTCCTGGAGCCTGCAGCCTCTTGGGCACAGTTCTGGCTTTAAGCAGGGTGGCCTCCACTCTGCAAGACCCAGAATTGGTTTGCCCTGAGACATCAGGGGGGCAGTCACCTGCCCTGGGACCCTTCAGGATGAAGTTTAACTTCCTGGCTTTGAAAGCAGAACATGCAGCCCTGGCTGGTTTGGCTCAGTGGATAGAGCGTTGGACTACGGACTGAAGAGTCCCAGGTTCAGTTCCGGTCAGAGGCACATGCCCGGGTTGTGGGCTCAATCCTCAGTTGGGCGCGTGCAGGAGGCAGCCAATCAATGATTCTCTCTCATCATTGATGTTTCTATCTCTCCTTCTCCCTTCCTCTCTCAAATCAATAAAAATATATTAAAAAGAAAAAGAAAGAAAAAAGAAGAACATGCAGGAAAAGGAAAGGAGGGAGACTGGTCCCAGGGCTGCACTAGGTGCTTTTCCTTCCAGTCTTTTTTCCAGCACACAGGCAAGAAGGAGGGCTTTGGGTGCTACTGTGAGCATGTTTTCACATTGTGTCTCACTTTTTGGTGCTGTTGCCATCTTTTCCTTTATTAGAGAAGTAACATTTCATTGTACAAGGGAAGCTGTGCTGGTAGGTTTGCTTCTACCCTTGCAGGGCCCATGGTGAGCACTTCTGGACTGGGACTTCGGTGCTACCTAGTGGGCACTGTCTTGAAGTAGGGGGCCTGCCTCCCCACCAGGGCTTCAGGGATGATTTTCATCAGAATTAACAGAGGCACAGCAGGTGGCTCTTTCGGTAGCTGTGTGTTGCCTGGATCTTTCCAGAAAAGTCCTGTTGGTTTGCCTCATGGTGCACCTAAGCTATCAGAAATAACTGTGGCTGCTGCCCAACTTGCCTCCTGGCCTGGCCCTGTGGGCACCTCTGCCCCTTCCCTGCTAACACTGGCTGCCCCCTTCTCCACAGTCAAAGAGAAGCTTCGCCTGGACCCTGACAGTGAGATCGCCACCACCGGCGTGCGGGTCTCCCTCATCTGCCCAGTGAGTCGATGTGGTGGTCCCCCTCCCTCACCTGTTTATTACGTGGGGGCTGCCCGGTGGTCTGCTCATCCCCCCTTCCTCTGCCCGCAGCTGGTGAAGATGCGGCTGTCCGTGCCCTGCCGGGCAGAGACCTGTGCTCACCTGCAGTGCTTCGACGCTGTCTTCTACCTCCAGATGAACGAGAAGAAGCCTACCTGGATGTGTCCTGTGTGCGACAAACCTGCCCCCTACGACCAGCTCATCATAGACGGGTGAGTCCCTGAAGCACAGGGGGCTGCACCGCCTGCCGGGCTGCACCTCACCTCGAGGGTCTCTGGGGGGGCGGGTGGGAGCAGCAGAGCCATGCAACTCGAAGGCCTCTGTGCCTTTTGGCAGCGTTGGAAGGCCCAGGTGGCAAACAGGCAGGATTTGTGTGTGCAGGCAGCAGGAGTGTAGCTTAGGGGTCAGAAGTGGGGCTCTGGACCCAGGAAGCCCACTGTTCCCCGGATGACCTGTGTTCTGGGAAGCTGTTTTTCTGCACGTAACACAGGGACCTGAGAAACCCTTACCTCCAGTCTGATGCACAAAGTTGCTTCCTGAAGTTGGTTCAGTACAACCTTAGTCATGCCCTCCATAGAAAGGTGAAAAGGACACACATCTCCACCAAACTCTGGTCACAGTCTCCTTGTCCCCTTTCTAGATGATGCTGGTGCATGGCCAGACGGTCCCTCAGCCTAACAAGCAGGCCGTCCCCACACCACTTGGGAACAAGGGGCAAAAGGCTGTTCTCCCCAAAAGGGAAACTTTGCTTAGGTTTTGGGTTTCCAGAAACTGAGCCCAGCACCTGACTGAGCAGCTCCTGCCAGGTGCTGGCCACACCCACCCCTGTCCCCGAAGTCTGATGGGGGCAGGGAGAGGTGGCAGCCTAAATAGAAGTTGGTACTGAGCTCTGCACCGCCAGCCATTGAAAGCTGGGACTCGAAGCTTGGGTTGTGTATACACAGTAGAGTTGCGAATGACCTATAGGGACTGGGTGCGAATTTGTACCCTCATTCAAGCACTCATCTCGGGGACCATGTTCAGGGTCTTGCCAAGCCCTCCCTCTCAACTGTCCCAGGAGGTGGACCTTAATCATCCCCACCTTTCAGATGGGGAGACTGATACTCAGGAGGGCAGTCACCTGCCCTGGGACCCTCCAGCTCGTAGGTAGCCAGGCCAGGTTCAGCCAACTCTGAGCCTGGATCCCCTCCCCAGAGGGGCTGAGCTACAGCCCTCTGTGCTACCCAACCTCAGGGTGGAATGAGGAGGCCCCTGGGGCTGGACATGAGGTCTGGGTCTGAATGGCAGCTCTGTTCCCAGCCTGGCAGCTGTGCAGCCCAGCACCCGCCTTCCCTCCCCCTCACAGGCCTAGAGTGGGTCACTCAGGCTCGGGTGGTGGAAGCTCTGGCAGGGCTGGGGACGGTGGCTCTGCCCCATACAGACCATGATCCCAGTGAGCCCACGGGGCCTCACGTAGCCCAGGAGGCTTGCTGGAGGAAGGGTTTTTGGTTTATGTACTTATTCTTTGAGGCTCTGCCATCTGTTCCTCTCTGGCCCTAAGCTGCGTGATCCAGGTGTCCCCAAAAGTACTCTGTCCCAGACCCTATCTTCAGGGAACTCCCACCTGAACTGGGGGGACAGGGAGAACTGAGCCAGATCCAGATCCTGTTGCTTGTGCTCTGCCTAGAGGACGAAGAGGAACTATAGAGTGGGGCTTTGGAGGGTGAGTGGGATTTTTCCAGGTAGACAAGTGCATTGCAGGAAGAGCTTTGTTCACACAAGGGTGACCCTGGGGGTGGGCCTATGAGTGTGGCGATGGAGGGGAGGCCAGAGGGTGAGGGTGGGAAGGACCCCGTCAGCTCCAGAGTGTGTCCTGGAGCAGGACAGCCTCCTTCCTGTGTGACTGTGACCTAGGGGGTCAAATTCACTTGGAGGCAGGTGCAACTTTGACACTGAACAAATGCTGGGGGCCATGGTGACCCATTGCCACAGCAGCATGTGTGTTCTGTGCACCGGGCCTGGCCTGGGTATTGGCTGTTCCTCAGGTCCCTCCAGCTGCTAGAGATGGTGGCAGAGACTGAGGCCCTGTGGCCAGGAAGTGTCAAAAAGTGGGGACTGGACTAGAACCCAGGCTGCTGCCACTTGGTCTTGTGGCCTCGGGGGGTTCACTCCTCCTCCCCAGGTCTTAGGTCCTCCATTTTGAAATGGGCCTGGCTGGCAGTACCTTAGCAGCCAATCCCCAGGGTCAGAGCACACCTCATTGGTTCTGGTTCGCTACGGGCGCGCTCTGGGAGACTCTCCAGGGGCCTTGAGCAGCACATAGCTGCTCTCTGAGCCTCAGTTTCCTTAACTGTCAAAGTGAGGGTAGCACAGAATCGGGATGCCAGGGCGGGGCCACTCGGTCAGGGGGCTGGGTAGGCAGGACCTTCTTCGGCCAGCCTCCCGGGCCCCGTGCTCTGAAGGTGTTGGAGGGAGTGCCTGCACTGTGCCAGGAGTGGGTGACTGCAAGCCTTCAAAGCAACGTGGCAGACCCTCCCAGAGGGCCTAGCTTGTGCAGACCGCATGCAGGGGAGAGACTGGCCCCCTCGCCCTCCAGGACCTCACATCACTGGGGCCTGGCTGGTGCTTTCATGAAACTTCTTTTGCAAAGAAGAAAGTGGCTTAGTGAGCATCCCACCAGAGTCCGGGGGAGCAGGGTGTGGCTCAGCTGGCCTAAGAATCAGTTCTCCTGTATCCCCCCTCCGTGCCCAGGCTCCTCTCCAAGATCCTGAGTGAGTGTGAGGATGCCGATGAAATTGAATACCTGGTAGATGGCTCATGGTGCCCGATCCGTGCCGAGAAGGAGCGCAGCTGCAGCCCCCAGTGCCCCATCCTCGTGCTCGGTGAGTCCCTGACCCAGCCCCCCACTGCTCATTCGTTTGCCCCAATACCTATTCTGGGGGTTTGGCGGTTTCTGAGTTTGACTTGTGTCCTGCTGTGTGACATTTTCATCTAAAACACAGCCACCTCAAATGAAAAAAGACCAAGAAAACCAAAAAGGAAAAAAAACGGGAGCCCTGGCTAGATAGTTCACTTGGTTAGAGCATCATCCCGATATGCCATGGTTGTGGGTTCGACCTCCAGTTAGGATACATACAAGAATCAACCAGTGGCCTTAGCTGGTTTGGCTCAGTGGATAGAGAGTTGGCCTGCGGACTGAAGGGTCCCAGGTTTGATTCTGATTAAGGGCACATGCCTGGGTTGTGGGCTCAATCCCCAGTAGGGAGCATGCAGGAGGCAGCCAATCGATGATTCTCTCATAATTGATGTTTCTATCTCTTTCTTCCTCTCTCTCCCTCTCTGAAATCAATAAAAATATATTTTAAAAAAATCAACCAATGAAGCATAAAAATAAGTGGAACAACAAATTGATGTTTCTCTCTCTCCCTCTCTCTTGCTCTGTAAAATCATTATATAAAATATTTTTTAAAAATGAAAAGGAAAAATAAAACAGCCATTCCCGTGGAGTGGATCCCATCCCCTCAGAGTGGAACAGACCAGGGCTCAGAACTCTGCACTGCAGGGAGCACACAGTTATTTAGCACCTGCTGTGTGCCAGGTCCTATACAGGGTGCTCCCCAACGTCTGGAGGCCTCTACATGAGGCAGAAATGGTATCCCAGGATTGCCCCTGCCCCTTGCCACCTCATTTCCTCATTCGGTGGGTCTGCAGTCCTGAGCATCTGTCCCTGTCACCCTCAGGCACCTCAGACACCAATGGGCTCCTATCCAGCCCCAACGTCAACGGTGGCGGTGGCAGCATGCTTGGGGGCTCTGGAGGCGGGGGCAGCACAATGGGCAGCATTGAAAATGGGAAGCTGGGAGCTGATGTGGTGGACCTTACGCTGGACAGTTCCTCGTCTTCAGAGGAAGAGGAGGAGGAAGAGGAAGATGAGGAGGACGAGGATGAGGATGGCCCCCGGCCCAAGCGCCGCTGCCCCTTCCAGAAGGGCCTGGTGTCGGCCTGCTGACGGATCGTCACCCACCACCAACTGGTCGGACACTCAAATTTTCCTGGTGCTCACCACGCAGAGGGGTTTTGGGGTGCAGAGGGAGGAGTGATTTTTTTTTTTCTTTTTATTGTTCATATGGTTTTCCACCCCTTTCCCTGGATCCTGGCACCTGTACCTCTGGACTCTCCTATTGGAGGATTAAAAAAAAAAAGTAAAATTACAAAAAAAAAAGTACAAAAGAGAAAAATGAAACAAAAAACAAACTCTTAAAAACAAGACGAGCCACCCACACAGCTGTTTCCCCAGCAGGATTCAGAACCCAGAAGAGGGATGGGCAGGACACTGCATCCTCCCAGATGCCCCGCCTCTTCTGATGACCATTCCAGCTGGTACAGAGGGACCTGGGGCTGGTGGGGGCAACAGGGAGGACTGAGGGGCTCCCTGGCAGCAGCCACGACTTGGACATTCATGTTCCTTTGCTTTTCTTCTCTCTGTGAACTGTCCTCTTGCCAGAGACCCTGGAATGGGCCTCTGAGCAGTGAGAGTTTTAGCCAAGAAGCCATTGAGCAGGTGGGTGGGGGTGGGCTAGGGAGGGCTTAGCCACAGATGTGTTGTATTTTTTGAAAGTGCAATAACTTGGTATTTTGAAGACCCAGCATGTGGCCAGAACCCCCTTTGAGGTGGGGGCTTCAGGGTGTGGCACCGTGTGGCGTGGGGGGTCTCAGTTCTTTAGCCAGCTACCTCGGTAACTCCAATTCAGGTTAACTTCCCTACGGAACAGTGCAGATGTCCACGGGTGCCACCGCCGGGAAGGTGGCCACCTCTGAGGGGCAGCAGGGACTCCTGCCCCGTCCTCTTAATTTGGGGTGGTTCCTTCCCCTCTTGCTCTTGGGTTTTCCGACGGGTACGAGGCCTGCCCTGCAGCCCCTCCCCCTGGAGCCTCATACTCGTCTTCCAACAGGACTGGGCTAGGGGCCACCCTTTAGCAACCCAATTAGCCTTGGGGGTGGTCCAGCAACCATGGGGCTTCCATAGCAACCCCAGATGCCTCCAGGGACCTGCAGCTGGGTGCTTGGCCCACCACCCAGCATCCTTGCCCCCTCAGAAGCCACAACACCCCAGACCACTTCTGCCTGCCCTCCTGTTTTGCTTTTTCTCTTCCCTGTCCTTTCCCCACCAACCCCAGAATAATTTTCCTTTGTATAAACAACTCTACTAGTCAGGAAGCAATATCATTTCAGGTCTAAAGACAAAAAGGACATAAATCTGGTCGAGGGCAAATTCAGTTTTACTGTATAGACTCAGTTGCGCAGTCCAGCCTCCCTCAGTCTGCACTGGCAGCTGAAGGCCGCTGTTTTCTAATATTTGTATTCTAATTTAATTGTTTTTTTAAAAATGCAAATAAAAAGGTCAAGGTGAAGCCACCATGGCATACGCTTTTCTGTGTGTCTGAGGTGTCAGCTGGGGGGCAGGGACCAAATGACAAAACACCTCCCCATCCACAGTTTTTTCTCTGCTGCATGATGTTCAGAATTCAAAAGGCACCACATTTGGTCAAATGAGGAGGATTTCCCTGTGAACTGCCTGGCCCAGTGTCCATCTGCGGGGCCTGGTGAGGCAGGCATTAGGCTCCCAAAATGATGCTGAGCAGCCTGTCACCAGGAAAATGCAAATCACGACCACTAGGAGGGCTAGGTCTAAGCAACAAGTGCTGGTGAGGATGAGGACTGGGACCCTCCTGCACTACAGGTGGGAACATAGATGGTGCAGCTACTGTGATAAGTCTGGCAGTTCCAAAAAGTTAGCCCCGTCAATGTGGCTCAGTAGTGAGTGTTGACCCATGAGTCACCTGTACTATTCCGGTCAGGGCACAGGTCTGCATTGTGGGCTCAATCCCCAGTAGGAGGTGTGCAGGAGGCAGCCCAAGGATGTTTTTCATCAATGTTTCTTTTTTAAAAAAAAGATTTTAGAGGAGAGAGAGCAACATCAATGATGAGAATCATCAATGGGCTGCCTCCTACATGCCCCCTACTGGGGATCGAGCCCGCAACCCCAGCATTGTACCCTGACCAGGAATCAAACCATGACCTGGTTCATGGGCTAAGTCTCAACCACGGAACCACACTGGCTGGGCATCTTAACGTTTCTATCTATCCTCCCTTCCTCTCTAAAATCAATAAAAACTTTTTTTTTGCCGAGACCGGCTTGGCTCAGTGGATAGAGCGTCGGCCTGCGGACTGAAAGGTCCCGGGTTCGATTCCGGTCAAGGGCATGTGCCTTGGTTGCGGGCATATCCCCAGTGGGAGATGTGCAGGAGGCAGCTGATCGATGTTTCTCTCTCATCGATGTTTCTAGCTCTCTATCTATCTCCCTTCCTCTCTGTAAAAAATCAATAAAATATATTTAAAAAAAACTTTTTTAAAAGAAAACATGGAGTTACCGTCTGACCCAGCAATTCCACTCTAGGTATCTCCCCCAAGGGAAATGAAAACCTACCTTCTCAAGAAAAGTTGTACATGAATCTTCCTAGCAGCTTTACAATAGCCAAAGGTGGGAACAAGCCCAATGCCCATCAGCTGAAAAATGGCTAAAATGTGGCCCATCCACGCCCTGGAATATCCAGCCATGAAAAGGAATGCAGCACTGGCCCTCGCTACAACGTGGATGAACCTGGAGCACAGGATGCTCAGTGAGAGACGCCAGACACAAAAGACCACACGTAGATTCCACTGATGTGAAATGTGAACAGGCAAATCCACAGACAGGAAGTGGGTTAGTGTCAGGGGCGGGGGGAGGGAAACGGGCGTGACTGCTGATGGAGAGGGGTCTTCCTTTTGGAGGGATGGACTGTCCTGAGAGGAGATGGTGGTGGTGATTGCAAAATTCCCAATATGCTACCACCAATGGTTTTATAAGGGGAAACTATACGTGAATGAGATTTCAAAACCCAAAGCCCCTCTCCCTTGGGAGGGGATGCGGGAATGTGTGTGCAGAGGCCACATGGACTGGGTGGCTGTTGAACCTGCTTTCATCGCTGTCCTGATCAGAGGCCTCTAGTTCGCCCTGTGGCTGGTTCAGGTTCCCTCGTGTCTGGCTGTTGAACCACTGTCCCGCCTCCCCTCAGTCCAAGTTGGAGACCTGTGTCTGCCATGTGACCACACGAGTGCAGGCCTTGCCACTGAAGGACACCTGGAGGCCCTCCCCAAGCCCTGCACTTGGTGGCCTTTCCCACCCAGGGCCAGGTCAGCCCCTACAGATTCCTTGTGGTTGCTATGAAAATCCACTTCAGAGTCCTGCTTGTCCTCTCCCAGGCTGTGACCATGCCCGTCTGTGCCCCCTGGTGCCAGTCACCCACCCCAACTCCAGGCCCTGCTGGCCCGAGTCCAACTGAGGGATGGGAAGGAGGAGGGTTCTCCCCAGGGCCTTGTAAGTGGCCATGTTTGGTGGCCCCCACCCAGAGATGTGGGCTGCAGCCCACAATTTTCCTCCCCAGTGAACGGGCCCTAGCCCAACCTTCTCCCTGGGGATATGGAGGAAGCAGCCAGTTCAGCTCCTTGATCAGGTCACTGGGGCCCAACAGGGGGCTGCACCTTGGAGGCCCCTGGCAAACTTGGGGTTCCCTGTGTAGGCCACCCCACCCAGGGCCTCCAGAAACCTTGTAGTAGGTGGTGGCCAAGGAGCCCGCTTAGCAGGTTCTTCCTGCCTGCCCCCACTGTCCCTCAGGCCCCTTCTTGGAGCCGCCTGCCCTCACCTAGGGGTGCCAGACACCTACCCCACCCTGGAGCCCAGAGGCAAGAGTCACTGTCCAGACCCCTCCCTCCCCCACTTCACCTCCCAGGCCTGGCAGGAAGAGTGAGGCTAGCATGGGGTCCTCTCCCTGGAACCCAAGCTGGGACCCCCAAGTGCTATAAACAAGGGACCCGACCCATGGGGAAGGAGCCCCTAAGCCCTCCATCCCCACTCCCCAGGCTCCCCCCAAAACAAAACACAAAAGAACATCAAAATCAAGCAAATGAGGCAGCAGCGGTCGTAACAGGCTGCGTTTAGTGGTTTTTTTTATGTACAAGAAAAATGATTTTTGTTTTCACCTTTTGTCTTTTTGTTTTTATTACTTTTAAAGCTTCTCCCCCCACCCCCCAAAAGTGCATATTTACCATTTTTTTTAGATCTCCCACATTTTATAAAGACTCTCAAATACAGTCTATGGAATGTCTGTGCTCTGTGCCCCCAGGGGCGCCACCGCCAACTCCCCATTCACCAGGCCTGGTCCCCCAAAGTCCAAGGCACCTCATGTCTGGGCCTGGGTGGGGTTGGGGGGTACCTGGCACAGGACCCCTGGCCGTTGGCCTCCAGGCAGCCCTGGCCGTGGGATGGGGGTCTCCCCAGCCCCATCTCCTGGTCCTGCCCCCATCCCACCTCCATGTAAATTTATATATTTAGTGCGAGATAGTCTAAACTCTGAGGTTATGACTCCTGGGCGCCCAAGACCCAGGCCGACCCGTCGTGCACCGGCCAACACCACCATTCCAGGAAGGCTGCTTCCTCAGCTTAAATAACTTTTTTAAAATAAAACTGCAAATATAAATATCTTTCTTTCTCAAAAAATAGGATTTTTGCTTTTTTTGTTGGTTTTAATTTTTTTTTTCCTTTCAGTCTCTGTTTTGCCTCCTACAATCCTGGCTGCCTGGATGGCCTCGGTTCTGGGGGCCCTGGCCCCTGCCTCGGTCCCACCATGTGCGACACAGCTGATGGGTCTCAGTAGTGCAGACTCCCCAGAAGACCCAGGTGGGAGCTGGGGGCCCCTCCCTTCCAACCTGAGAACCCCCCTCGGAAGGAAGCAGAGGGACAGCCCTGTATAAACAGGGTGACGAGATGGCCACATGGGGTCTCCCGGGTGGGCTGCCCGAGGGGGCAGGCTTTGGTATGGCCCACTGGAGCCCGGCTGGGCACAGGCCCACACCCATGCCAGGCTGGGCCTGGTCCGGCACTTTACATTCACTGGTTTTTAATTTTAATTTTTTTTTTGCCTTTTTTTTCTTTTAATCTCAAAAGGCAGGGTCAGGGTCAGGGTGGGGGAATAGGCAGGGAGCAGCAGCAAGAACATTTATCTCTCTCTCCCAGTCTGGCAGGCTGGAGACTGATCCAGGTGGGGGCTCATCCCCCCGCCCCCATCAGAAGTCCCCAGCCTAGACCTCACTCGCGCACACATGCGCACACACACATCCACACAATTTCACCAAGATGATGGAAATAACAATTTCACTTTGTCTTTTTTTTTTGTACCAGGCAGTTAAAAAAAAAACACCCCAAAGAAAGAAAACACCAAAGAAAACCCCAAACAACCAAACAAAAACACTTTTTTGCTGTGTCCTTTCCGACCAGTCAGCACGTTCCCCCTCAAATATTTGTTTCCTGAAACGCGAGAATTCAGCAGTATCTTTGGCAACACTTTATCACAACCTTAATTTAAAGAATAAAAATAAAATCGATCCACATCTATATACAGTATGTGATTGCGCAGTTAGGGGGCTGGGCCGGGTGGACGGGGGTCCCGGCTCTGGGCCCATGCAGAGGCTGTGGCCCCCGGGACAGACTGGCGGGCAGCAGAATAGGGGTTAAGGCGAAATGGGTGGGCAGGGCTGGTGAAAGCTGGGTGCAGAGCTAGGGGTAGGGGTTTAGTGCAATTCCCAAGGAGCTTTGTGTTAAAGTGTGCTTGGCGGGGTTCAGCCCATGCCCCACCATAGTCCCAGAGGCCTCAATTCCCCAAGTCGTCACCCCCACTGGCCAGGACGACGGCTGTGATTTTTCAGTTGGTTTTATTGCAAGGAGGTGTGTGGGTAGGGGAAGAGGGCTTACCCCTCAAGGAACCTCTGGAAGCTGGGAGGGGCGGGGGGGGAAGGGGGTCCCTGGCCTGGGTGCTCAAGCTCTCTGCTTGGCCTCCACAGATGGTTCTCTGAATCTCGCCCTGTGATGCTGGGGTATGACAAGGCCACCTGGCCCTGGGCTCCCCTGCCACCCCCCTCAGGAGGGGGGGTTCCTGAGACATTTGGGGGGCTGGCAGAGGCCGGGAGGAGACGAAACCTATCCTGTAGAAACAATGATGAAAGTTGCCTTCTTAAAAAGCTTCCCTTTAAAAAAAGAAAATGAAAAAGGAGATGAGAAGATGGGGTTTGTCACAGAGCAAAAGGGTACCAGGAGACGGGCCAGCGACTAGAGGGAGCAGGGGCACCCTACCCCCGACCTTGGGCATTGACGAAGAAGGATCTGAGCTCAGCAGGATGTGTCTATATACAGGGTCCCACACTAGGCGCTGCATATGCAAGAGAGGGTAAAGGTGCCCTGGCCTCTGGTAACATGGTTTCCCTGCCCTGGCCCCCGTCCGTGGCCTGTGGCTCGGTCAACACCGAGCCTTTGGGGAGCCAGG